TGAGGTGGGCTGGTATGTAAAGCATATTTAATTTTTCTCAGTGTTTTATATATGTGATTTATGCCACTTGGAGTTGATTTCAACTTAGCGTATTTAAAGTTGGTAATGCTGAAAATACAAACAAAAATACCCAGCTCACTTGCCAACCTGCAACAAACTGAATTAACCCTGGTCCAGGATAGCCGAGACTCCAGTGCACATCGCTGGGTGGAGAGGTGGCTTAGGTATTACAGGGGCCTGGGGGGGATGCTGTGCATAGAATGCATGAAGATAGAAAATCTTGAGCCTTTACAACCACTTTAAGTGTTGTGCTTGGTATATTGGTATGTCAGTAAAACTACCCAGCTTGTTACATAAGGATTTCCCTGTCCAGGCCTTCTCACTATCATAATATTGTTTTAACATACTTAACACATTAAAGCAGAGTTCCAATGGGAATTAAAAAAAAAAAAAAAAAAAAAAAAAAAAAGCTACAAAAACTGTAGCTGCTAACTTTTTTTAAAGAAAAAAAAAAAAACGGACACTCGCCTGTCCCTCGATCGCACGGTGTCCTGTCTCCACAGTGCTGGCATCCTCAATGTGGGCACCTGGCTGTGACAACTTGGGTGCCCACTGCACATACACGAGCAGCACTGTGCTTTGTGAATGGTCCCGTAGTCTTCTGGGACCTATCACGTGGCCCAGAAGACTACGGGGGGTGACCACTGCTTCTGATCGCCTAGGCGACCGCAGTGGGAGCGGGTACCTGTCAAATTTGTGTACCCCACTCCCCAAAGGTGCCAGTCCTTAACGGGGAGCTGGGGACAAAGTCTTAAAGCGGAACTTCCCCTTTTGGGTGTCAAGTTTTGTTTCCATTCATCCAACTCTTGTGACCGGTTTTGAGTTGTCAGGAAGACCTGGATACAGGGCCCAAAAAGCACATTTTTTTTTTTTCTCTTTACAGATATTGTTAAAAAAAGACTGCCAAAAAATCTAGATTTGTGACTCCTCAATTGTTTCAGCTGGGATGTATGTGTAAGGATTTAATTCTCGGTCCTACTTGAAATTGTAGAAATTGCAAATCCTTCCCAGGCCTTGATCAGCCACTTTTGCAGTACTTTCAGCTGTGTGTGTGTGTGTGTGTGTGTGTGTGTGTGTGTGTGTGTGTGTTTTTTTTGTTTTTTGTTTTTTTCACACAACCATACAATTCTTTTAAATGTATATTATTATATATCTCCTTGTTTTAAAAGCGATGCCTCCAATTGAAAAGGCTTTCTACACAGAATCTCCAAGTGTTGCCTCAATGTCTGAAGAAGAGGTATCAAAATGGAGGTAAATATAGTTTTCTATTTTCCTTACAAAAATATACTAGAATACAAAAGAATAAGAACAAAGTCAAGTACTTTTTGTAGAGGTTACGTATAAGTGTGTTTTGATGGGGGGAGGTTGTGTTTTTCTTGTATATAGTGTGGTTTTTTTTGCAATTTTGAGTTGAATAAACTGTGGAAGGATTAGACCATCGGTCAGGTTTTTATTGCTATTTTGTAAGGAATAATTCAAATGGGGATTATATTGTCCATCTTAGTTATCAAAGCATACAGCTTTGATTGCTCGTTAAAAAAAAAAAAAAAAAAAAAAAAAAAAAAAAAACCACAATCTGTGAGAGAGCTTTAGGATGGATCAAACCTACGCTGCTGTAAAAACATATTATTTGAAAAAGTGTGATAAATATCAAATCAACCATATAAAGTCATAGGAAGCCATGTATAGATTATCGAAACATGATCATAGGTGGTTCTCTTGATGGCTTCCTATGACTTTGTATATAGTAGTTTAATTTTTTTTTTTTTCCTTTTTTTTTTTTTTTTTTTTTTTTTTTTATGTACACATAGATTAACTAACTACTTCTCACCCACAGTGCATTTACTGTGGGTGGGTGTCACGGGTAGGCTAGGTGACATACTGTATGTTGCACCCTTGTTCCTGCTTCTCGGGACATGCAATGCTCCCCCCTGCCGAATTGTGCTGTGAAAGTTCTTTAGCAGGCTATAGCCAATGATTTTGGCTGTAGACCTGCTGATGGCAGGCCAAGCACAGCACAGATCCTGTGTCTGTAAAGAGACACAGAACCTGACTGTTTTCTGCCTCCCTGAGCTCTTTTCATTTAGGGACAGAAAGCAGCCAGATCTTGTTTAAGTAAAAGCACCACATTCACACTTGTTAGGCACATTTAAACCGTTGATTGCCCTCCAGTTAACCCCTTTATTGCCCTGTCACCTAGCCAGTGTCATTTTGTACAGTACTATCACAGTATCCCTGTCACTAACAATGTGAGATGTCCCACCCAGTCAGCGTCCGAATACCCACCACACTATTGCTCTCCACAGTTAATCCCTTGAATGCCCACCACAATATATCAGTCACTCTATAACTGCTAGTATAGTACAGCTCAGAACTATATTAGTATCTGCAAAAGTATAGTGTCCCCCAAAACGCAGTGTTAGCAAGATCAGCCCCACTGCCAGCACTTGTATTTTAGTTTTGTTATTGCAGTGTTGTTGTTTTTTAATTTTTATGATCTGTTACCTCTGATACATTGTCCACAAAACCATAGTGTTGGCAAGATCATGCCTGATCTCTGCTAGCACTAGCAGTTTATTTTATTTCTAGCACACAAGCAGTCCCTGATGGCAAGGAGTTCTCTTTCCCAAAGTCACCACTAGGCACCTGTAAATTTAGTGGCCAAAATGGCCAAAAAAGGTACACTGGCAGACGCCTACAGGATTCTGAGCATGACAAATGAGTGAACAGGAGGCTTCACTGTCAGAATATGAACCAATAGAAAGCAGCGGCAGGGAGCTCAGACCATGGAGAAGAGGTCCCTGCTAAAATCAGGTGTACCCCACCCCATGTTACTGAAGTGAAGTAACGTTTATACCCAACAGTACATCACCGCCGACCCAAGTTCATACCTTACCAGGGAATTTGGGTGGAAACCTATCACGGGTTCTGAATTTGAGTTTTTTTTGGGGCCTAACCCTATAGGCATTAAAAAAAAAAAAAAGGTGTGAATTGCCATCATATTGGTCCACAGACCTGATTTATCACGACTGTGTTCTCTGCTGTAATGGCCGGGCAGAGATGTATGACAATAATGCACTGTATGCATTTCACTGACCGATTGTAAGCTCCAAGGAGAAGGGCCCTTGAACCGCTCGTGTATCGCATTGTTATTGTACTGTCTCATGTATTGTCTCCCATTGTAATGTACAGCGCTGAGCGAACTATTGGCGCTTTATAAATACTGTATAATAATAATACTTTCGGGTTGCCCTGACTATGATCGGTTCCACAAAATTTGACCCTTCATAATTTGCCCATCCCAGAAATTTCTAGATGTGTATATGACCCAACAAAACATCAGCATAGTCAAGTCCCTTGTAGATTTTACTGGCAGGCTTGCATTCAAGCAGTTTCTCCCCAGCAAGGGTGCCAGATATGGGGTCAAAATTTTAAAATCTCTGTGATGGGGCCACAGAATATACATACCATTTTAGAATTTGAGGGAAAAGACATTTGTGGAGCCCCCCGGATGCCCAGACTACATGCGGAGCAGTGGTAGGATAGTGTAGAACTTGTTCCCTTTGTTCAAAGCTGTGTACCATTTGTACGTTAACTTATTTTTTTTTTTTTTTTTTTTGCAAGCATGCAACTTTTAGACATTTGTTCAACATAGAAATTGGCTGCTGTGGAACCATGCAACGTAATCACAGGGGCTACCCCTTTTAGAAAGGCTTGCTTGCGGAATGAGAAATTACTTGCAGTAAAATGAAAGGACAAGCGTGATGTATTCATGCTGTCTGCTATTCACCTAGACATGACTGTCCAAATTAACATGGTGTCTGATGTCTTTGAAAAGCTTCTCTGTGTCCATGAGTATAATCTTAATATGGGAGGTGTAGACTACAACAACCAAACGATGAAGCCATGTTTAGCCACCCGCACAGCTAGACACTGGTGTCTATATATTTATTTCAATTGGCTCTATACAATCCTTTTGTTATTTACTAAGCAAGTGGAAGAACTGGATCCCTCCTAAAATTTCAGGAAGCGATCATAGTCAGCTGCATGAGACCTCTTCTAGATATCCTCCAAAATACCCTGACACAAAAGCCACCCCAGGAGGGATACATCTGTGGTAAACACAGAATAAGGCGTGACACGTGTGTGGTGTGTGTGTTTTGTTTTTTTTTCCCCACCTACTTCTGTCCTGGCATCTGTATCAAGGACTGCTTCCGTCGCTACCACACCATAGTGGACTTAGTCTAGGGTACAGCATGGCATAGTATAGATCCACACAATTTCTGCACAAAAGGGGTCTCTAAAGGTATTGGGTAGTCAGGAAACTGTTTTATACCCCTTTCCTTTACCAGGCCAATTTTCAGCTTTCAGCGCTGTCTCACTTTGAATGACAATTGTACGAACATGCAACATTATGCCCATATAAAATTTTTATCTTTTTTTCTCACAAATAGAGCTTTCTTTTGGTGGTATTTACTTTTTGTGCTATAAACAAAGAGCAAATAACTTGGGAAAAAAAAAAGTTTTTCTATTATAAAAATTTTGCAAACAGGTAATTTTTCTCCACTGATATGCGTTGATGAGGCAGCACTGATGGGCGGCACTGATAGGTGGCACTGACTGGTGGAACAGGTGGGTGGCACTGCTGGGCACAGGGCACAGCTAGGACTGCCCATAGACTATGCTGTGCTTCTTTTCTGCCTAGTGTCCTGTTCTGCCTAGTGATTTAACCCTGTGGTCAGGAATAGAAGAGCTTTATCCGTCAGTGAACTCAGAAAGGGATGTTACAGTGAGGAATATTTTTGCAAAGTGCTGTATGTTTTTTTTTTTTTTTTTCTATATGATTTGTTTATATATGTTCTTCTTTAGGGTCAGAGAGATGCATGTATAAGTGGCATGTCCTTTTCTTTTTCTAACTTATCATATTTATTTTTTTTTTTTATAGGAAGGAAAATAATAACATTATTTGTACAGACTTGAAAGATGGTGATAAAAGACCAATCCCAAACCCTGTCTCCACTTTTCAAGAAGCATTTAATCCTTTCCCAGAAGTTATGACCGCGTTAACAAATGCTGGATTTGAGCGTCCTACTCCAATTCAGGTATTAACTAATCTAGCATTAAAAGTGGGGGAAAAACTGAAAGCTTTATTTTATGTCTTAATTTCTATTCTGAGTATACTGAGTATCACTTGAACAAATCTTTCAATACGTTTTTTGCATTTAACACATTTTATGCATGTTCTTACCCGTAAAAGCCTCCCTTTTGTAGATATTCAAAAGGCCTGAGACTGCTGTTGTATGCTGGTGCAATGTGATATCAGCAGACGCGCAAGGTTATGTAGGGAGAAGCTGGGCCTAGCAGAGTATTTACACACTTCCTAAGGAAAATGGATATGACATGCTAGATTAGAGGTGAATGTGATCAGGAGTTGATTCTTCCTGTTGTAGTAACGTTTTCTAGAAAGTTTAAAACGGACAACTTAATAAAATGTTATGCAAAGGTAAAACAATGCCAGTAATATAATTTGGTATGGATCTCTTGAAAGTGTTTAACAGAGATTCATTGTGAAATAAAAGTTGGAAGGGCTAGAATATTTGCTATATAAATTCCTGTTGCTGTTTCTGTACTTCAGCTTCCCTCTCACTCATTAACATAATGATGGCATTGTCTCTGGAAAAAGTCTCAGGCAGCAATAAAAGGACACAATTGTATTAGTTCCAACTTTGAAACTAAAAGAAAAATAACTTTGGCTTGAGGTGCACATTAAAGTAGGAATAAACCTTTACGTAAAGTGAGGTACTTTGACTTGCCTGTAAATTTCATATCTTTGAGTACTGGATACATGCCACCCTTCCATTCCTTGTTTTACTCAACATTGCTTGCTACAAAACTTGAAGACTCCTGGAATTGGGTTATAGGGGATGCATTCAGGGGGCATGTCTTCTTATCTTCCAATCACCTGAAAGTACACTCCTAGAACCCATGGTGTATAAATATTCTGCCAGTGTCCTGTATTCCAAGATATGAAATTTACTGGCAATTCTGGTTTCTCTCCTTGCCTGGAATCCCTATAGTAATGGGCCCCCATTCTTTCTAGTGTGTGTATACCTCCTCCCTGGGCCAATTGATAACCTTCCATGGCTTCCAATACCACCTCTATGCTGATGACACCCAGATCTATCTCTCCACTCCCCAGCTCACCCCCTCAATCTCACGTATCACAAATTTAAGTGACATATCGGCATGGATGTCACACTACTACCTTAAACTCAATCTTTCCAAAACCAAATTTTGTAGTATTTTCTCCTCCCCGATTCCCCACATATGGCTTTACCATTAAGATCAACAGCACAACCATTGGTCCTTCCCCTCATGCCAGGGTGCTAGGCGTAATCCTAGACTCTGACCTCTCCTTTGGGCCCCACCTCCTATCACTGGTTAAATCCTGCAATCTCAACCTCTGCTACATTTCCAAAATCTACCCCTTTTCTGACCAATGACACCACAAAACAACTTATCCACGCCTTGGTTTTATCCCACCTTGATTACTGCAACTCCCTCCTCACTGGTCTACCGTTACACAGGTTATCCCCCCTTCAGTCTATTATGAATGCTGCTGCTAGACTCATATACCTTACCAACCGATCAGTTACTGCTGCCCCTCTCTGCCAATCCCTTCACTGGCTTCCACTAACCCAACGTATAAAATTCAAAATACTAACCACAGCTTACAAAGCCATTCACAACACTGCCCACAGCTATATCACAAACCTCCTCCACAGATATTGTGCGCTCTGCTTCTCGCAAAACATCTTTCTCTCTAGCTCCCTCGCCACCTCCTTCCACGCTCGCCTCCAGGACTTCTCCAGAGCCTCTCCCATCCTTGAACTCCCTACTGCAGTATATCCGGTCAGCCCCCACCCTGTTTGCCTTTAGGCGATCTTTGAAAACTCACTAATTCAGGGAATCCTACCCCACCTCCACCTAAAAACTTTACTTTAATCACCTCCACCAGATCATCCCCCGCAGCTATCACCTTTTGTATCACCTCCCCCTTCCTTTAGATTGTAGGCTCCATAAGCAGGGTCCTCCTTTTCCTTCTGTACTGAAATGTTTTGTAATTGTACGGTCTACCTTATATTGTAAAGTGCTGCGCAAACTGTTGGTGCAATATAAATCCTGTACAATAATAATAATATATATGCACACCCTGTATGTTTTTGTACTCCAAAGTTTACATACACTTGGACAATTGGTAAAAGAATGTACCATTTTTACAGAAGACTTGAGTGAGCAGGCAAACCACATTTCTTTTATTTCTTATGGGATTCATATTCAACTGTAGGTCATGATAGAATGGTATAATCATAAAACAAAACATGGCAACAAGTAAACAAATTAAATGACCCTTTTCAGTAGTTTGCATACCCTTAGTTCTTAATACTGTGTACTTCCCCCTTTACCATCAATGACCGCGTGCAGTCTTTTGTAATAGTTGTCTTTGAGGCCCCGAATTCTTGCCAGTGGTATAACTGCCCATTTTGTCTTGGTAAAATGCCTCCAGGTCATTCAAAGTCTTTGGTTATTTTGCATGAACTGCACATTTGAGATTTCCCCAGAGTGGCTTGATATTAGCATCCGGAGACTGTGCTGGCCACTCCAGAACCTTCACCTTTTTCTGCTGTAACCATTGGAGGGTCAGCTTGGCCTTGTGTTTAGGGTCATTGTCGTGCTGGAAAGTCCAATCGTGTCCCATGCACAACAAGAAGAATGTAAATTGTCTGCCAGTATTTTCTGATAACATGCTGCATTCATCTTGCCATCAATTCTCACAAGATTCCCTGTGCCTTTTTAGAAACACCAGTGAGCAACCACCATGCTTCACAGTGGGGATTAAATTCTTGTCACTATAAGCATTGTTGACCCCTCTCCTAACATTGCACTTATGGTTGTGACCATATTTTGGTCTTGTCACTCCAAATAAGTGTTCCAGAAGCTAGGGGGGTATCAATGTGTTGTCGGGCATATTGTAACCCGGCTTTTTTTTCGACATTAGTGATATAATGGCTTTTTTCTGGTGACTTCACCAGGCAGCTCATTTTGTTCATCATATTGTACTCCTTGAAACAACCACACCGTCTTTTTCCAGAGCAGCCTGTATTTTTTCCTGAGGTTGCTTGTGGATTTTTCTTTGTATCCCGAACAATTCATCTGTCAATTGTGGCTGCAATATGCACAGTGGCTAAATGTTTAGCACTTTCGCCTGGCAGTACTAGGGTTGTTGGTTCGAATCCCAGCCACGGCACCACCTGCCTGGAGTTTGCATGTTCTCCCTGTGCCTGTGTGGGTTTCCTCTGGGTACTCCGGTTTCCTCCCACACTCCAAAGACATGCTGGTAGGTTAATTGGCTCCTGCCTAAATTGTCCCTAGTATGTGTATGTATGAATGGGAGTTAGGGACCTTAGATTGTACACCCCTTGAGGGTTAGGGACTGATGTGAATGTACAATATATATGTAAAGCGCTGCGTAAAATGACGGCGCTATATAAGTACCTGTAATAAGTAAATATTTCCTTACCAACTGACCTTAGCTTTGTATTAAAAGATCTGCAAATTTGCAACTTCTTAAGTGATTGAGCAATACTGACTGGCATAGTCAAGGCTTTGGATATATTTTTACATGTCACCCCCTCCCCCTTCTGGCAGCAGCTGCAATTTCTGTTCCCCATCTTAGAGATCAAGAACATCTTTTGCTCTCTGGAATGCCCACTCGGTCTGTAACAGGCTTAGCTCTCTTCATGACCTTTTTTAATTTCATTAACTTAACTTTGTTTGCTGTTACTGAAACCTGGCTACAGGAATCTCTCATTCACCTAGAAGAAAAGGAGGTGGACTTGGGATTCTTTTTTCCACACAGTGCTTTTCAGGTTTTTCCCTAGTCTCCCTCTGTTCCTGCCCTCTTTTGAAGGTCACTGTATTTCCCTCTTCTCCAGCTTCTTTGGGCATTGCTGTAATCTATCAGCCTCCTGGATCAAGCTTTCTTGATGACTTCTCTTCCTGGCTTACCCTACTTTTTTCACCTTTCGAAATACCCACTATCATTTTTGGTGACTTCCAACATCCATGTTAATTGTTACACTCCAGTTACCTCTCAACACCTCAGCCTAACCTCCAATTTTGACTTAACACAATGGGCACACACTTCTACTGTGATGGCAACACTCATGACCTATTATGCCACCTCTGCACTCCTTGCATTCTCTTCCATCACTTCTTTTCCTTGCGTTCAACCTTACCAGTTTCTTGCTCTGCCTTTTCTTTAGCTCCCATTCCCTGCAACCAGCAAATGGTTACACCTGAAACTTTCACCACCTTTTTAACCCTGCTCTTGTTTATTCTGCAAGAGAACCTCTGTGACAGAATTTCACCCCTCTCCTGCCTCAGCCTAGCAAAGTCCACCTACAAAGACTCCCTCTTATCCTCTCTGGACACACCCATCGACTTCACTACATACGAATTCAGGCTCCAATCGCTACATCCTTTGCACCCTGACAACTCAACATGTCTCAAAAGATGTAGCCATACTCTGAGTGATTAATTGTGGCATAAAACTAAATTCCAGCAAGACTTCTACTGTATAAATCTGCCCTTCAAAAGTCATGCCTTCACATTGCCAAACAAAACCAGTTTCATCACTCTCCATAACCTTTTCTTCCATCTTATTTCTACTTTTTATGTTCTTGCTCCTCCACCCACCAAGTCTAAAGCTGAAGTTTACTGTGCAAAAATTCTAGGCAGGTGTGCAGAAATGCTGTAAAGTAAGAATGCTTTAAAAAATATATAATTTTAATAATTTTTATTAATTTACAAAATGCAAAGTGAGCGAACAGAAGAAGAATCTAAATCAAATCAATATCTGGTGTGACTACCCTTTGACTTCAAACCAGCATCAGTTCTTACACTTGCACGCTTTGTAATCTTGAACAAAGTCGGGGATTTTGTAGGATTAGAATCAGGTATATGATTAACCAATCCTACCAAGCGAGTGCTAATGATCATCAGTTTCATATGTAGGTTGATTTAGTCTGAAACAGAAACGGCTGTATAGGAAGTTTAATACTGGATGAGGAACAGTCAAACACTGCTACTGAGGTGAGGTTGTGGAAGACAGTTTCAATATACTGAGCACCGTAACATAACACAAGGTAGTTATACTGCTTCAGCAAAGTCTTTCCCAGGCAAATATTTCAAAGCAGACTGGTTTCAATATGTGCTGTTAAAGCTCTTTTGAAGAAGCAAAAGAAATGGGCAACGTTGATGACTTTAGACAAAGTGATTAGCCAAAGAAACTTTTTTTAATGCAGTAGAGGAAAGACACATCATGCTAACTTCCCTTCGGGACATCCCTCTGTCCAGCACAGCCATCAGCACAGAACTGACAGAAAACCAATGGGATCCAGGTAGACCCCCTATATACAGTGGGGAAAAAAGTATTTAGTCAGCCACCAATTGTGCAAGTTCTCCCACTTAAAAAGATGAGAGAGGCTGTAATTGGCATCATAGGCAGACCTCAACTATGAGAGACAAAATGAGAAAAATAAATCCAGACAATCACATTGGCTGATTTGGAAAGAATTTATTTGCAAATTATGGTGGAAAATAAGTATTTGGTCACCTACAAACAAGATTTCTGGCTCTCACAGAGCTGTACCTTCTTCTTTAAGAGGCTCCTCTGTCCTGCACTCATTACACTCGACTTGGATTTTGAATATTTTTGCATTGACTGTAGCTAACAAAGCAATGTTTAACTCTAAAACATTTTGTGTTTAGTCCCAGGCATGGCCAATAATTCTTCAAGGATTGGATCTGATTGGGATTGCGCAAACAGGCACTGGAAAAACACTGGCCTACTTATTACCGGGGTTCATTCATTTAGATCTTCAACCAGTGTAAGTGTTTTTTTTGTTTTTTTTTTTTTTTTTTTTTTTGGGGGGGGGGGGTTCTGTTGCTGTATAATAATTTTTTTACATTTTTTTTTTTTCCAATAAATACATTTTTGGTTTATGCTACTGTGGTTTGTGTACTTTTACATACAGTTCGGACCATATATACAGCTGTGCTCAAAAGTTTGCATACCCTAGCAGAAAATGTGAATTTTATATTGAAAATATGACTGATCATGCCAAAAAATGCTCTTTTATTGAAGGATGATGATCATATGAAGCCATTTTATTATCAAAAATAGTTGTTTGGCTCCATTTTAAATCCTAATAACAGAAATTACCCAAATGGTCATGATCAAAAGTTTCCCTTCCCTGGAATGTTTGGCCTTGGTACAGACACAGAAGGTGACATGGGTTAAAATGCCAATTAAAGGTTAATGTCCCACATCTGTGGCTTTTTAAATTGCAATTCGTGTCAGTGTATAAATAGTCAATGATTTTCTTAGCTCTTATGTGGAAGCACTGACTAGGCTAGATACTGAGCCATGGGGATCAGAAAAGGACTGTCAAAAGTCGTGCGTAGCAAGGTAATGGAACTTTATAAAGATGGAAAAGGACATAAAAAGATGTTCAAAGCTTTGAATATGCCAATCAGTACTGTTAAATCACTTATTAAGAAGTGGAAAGTTTGGGGATCTCTTGATGCCAAGCCAAGGTCCGGTAGACCAAGAAAGATTGCAGCCATAACTGACAGAAGAATTGTCCAGGATTCAAAGAAAAACCCACAGGCAACCTCAAAAGAAATATAGGCTGCTCTGGAAAATGGTGTGTGGTTGTTTGTTTTTAAGGAGTACAATATGGTGATACTTGAACAAAAATGACCTGATTGGTCGAGGTGCCAGAAAGAAGCTTTTACTGCACCAATGCCACAAAAAAGCCTGGTTACAATATGCCTGACAACACCTTGACATGCCTGACCAGGCCTTTTTGTGTCATTGATGCAGTAAAGGCTTCTTTCTGGCACCTCGACCATGCAGCCCATTTTTGTTCAAGTGTCATATTGTGCTCCTTCAAAACAACCACACTGTCTTTTTCCAGAGCAGCCTGTATTGCTTTTGAGGTTGCCTGTGGGTTTTTCTTTGAATCTCGGACAATTCTTCTGTCAGTTATTGCTGCAATCTTTCTTGGTCTTCCTGTATTTGGCTTGGTATCGAGATCCCTGAACTTTCCACTTCTTAATAGGTAATTTAACAGTACTGATTGGCATATTCAAGGCTTTGGACATCTTTTTTTTTTTTTTTTTTTTTTTTTTTATGTCCTTTTCCATCTTTATAAAGTTCCATTACCTTGTTACATTTTCTCACAAGGTTCATGCAACTTTCACTCAAGATTAACATAATTTTCAAACTGGATTTAATACGAAATCCTGAGTAAAGATGTGCATTTTCTGTATAAAAAAACAACAAAAAAAACGCATGTAGACCCCAATTATCTGATGAATACAGAAGTTCCAATTTTCTTTTATACAAAACCAAACTAAGGAATTTTGCTCACTGTGAATCTAGGAAAGCAGAATGCCTCTGCTGTATGTCATTCTCAAAACAGTTTTACAGTAATGCAAATGTGTCTCTAGTGAGAATTATTTTACTCTTAAAGGAGAAGTACAGCCAAAGCTCTTTTGGCTGTACTGCTCCTGTGTATAACAGGAGTGTAGGTTTGTTTTGCACGCCTCCTGTGACCTGTTTTCATTTGACAGCGGACTGTCACTCAGCCTGTTTATGCTGGGGAAAGATCTCAACTTTAAAGTCAGGAACCACCCCAGAGTCTGGAGCGGCACCTGAGAGCCTGAGACAGCTTCTCCCTCCCCACAACCCAACGCTCCAGTGAGTGCAAGGGGGTCAGAGTAGACGGCAGTGATTGACAGTCAGAGCAACTGTGAGAACTCGGTGGTCAGCAGTCATGTGATCCCTGAGTTCTCACACTTAGAGCTGGCGGGGTACAAATGCCGCATCGGACCGATTTCTGCATTCACCTAGGTAAATATAATTGGGCCCAAACTTCTCTTTTAATGTAAGTGTTGAGCTGAGTTGAAAATATTTTTCTGCTTTATTACTGTTAATTACTTTTTTTTTTTTTTCCTTTTTAACTGCTGCAATACATTACACAGAGCTAGTCCCATTCATGTCTAAATGTGACAGCGTATGTCTTTCCTGTTTACTTTTGTTTTTTTTTTTTTTTTTTAAATAGACCTAGAAATAAACGCAAGGGACCTGGTATGCTGGTTTTGGCACCAACTCGAGAATTAGCTCTTCAAGTCAAGGAAGAGTGTTCCAAGTACCAATACAAAGAATTTGAAAGGTATGAGTTTAGTTTACGTGATTAAAAATGTAGGGATCTTTTTTTCATCAGGAATGCTACTCGCAGACTTTTGTACGTTTCTAATGTTGTATAGTGTATGGGGTGTTAGAAGCTGATTGGCTACCATGCACAGCTGCACCTCTAACTTCAGGTTGTGCAGTTAGGCTTTGGCAATTAAACCTGGAAGCTGATTGGTTTCTATGCAGAGTTGCACCAGATTTTGCACTCTCCAGGAAATGACCCCTCAAGTATCTGCTTTTTTTTTTTTTTCCACCTTCCATTTTTTTAAAGCGATAGTAAGGTGTTTTATACTAATGTAAAAAAATGGGCCCCCTGCAGGTTTAAGTTATAATTTACTAGTATGAAATGTATACTAGTACATTATGACAGTGTTGCCTACAAGACGGAACCCTTCAGCGATGCGCTGTCATGGCTCTGCCAGTTTCCTTGCAGTTTCCATCTTCACCCGGTCTTCCTTCAAGGTTTATATATCTATCTTCAGCCACTTGAATGGCTGGGCCCAGGTGATGTCACTCCCACACATGGGAGTCACATCACGGCATGCAGAGCAGACTGTAAATGTGGTCTGAGTTGTACATGTGCAGCTCGGATAGCATTACCCGCTGACAGGCAAGGAGGACATTTATGACAGCTGAGACATCTAAGGTCTCTTCTGTAATAAAAACCCTGCCTGTCAGCGTTTTGTCTAGTTACTGACTTTACTACCACTTTAAGGCTTATCCTCAAAACACAACAAATCCAGTGCTGTCTTGCAGTAATCTGCCGCATGTCATCTGAAACCGGATCTTTCTGGATCCTTACAGCTGGCCCCTGATGATGCACCACTGCGCAGTGTGTTCTAGATGGCCTCTAAGCCTCCAGGGATCCCTGACTGCGGTCAGCTGGAGCTACATCCTTCTCACCTAGAAAATAGGCAATTTGGGGAAAAAAAGGCAGAAGCTCTAGCTGGGGCACTGCATGAGACGTTTTAAAAGAAAAACAATATTAATCTCCACATATGTGAAGGAAGTGGGGTTGAATTATACTATTTAAAGGACAAAAGAATTGTGAAGGTTTGCATTAAGATTGCTGTAGTTACTAGGTTTTCCAAGAAAACATTGAGCCCTGGTCCTCTAATGATTTTTGTCGATGACCAATACAACCTGCATTCTACTGTAGTCCTGATTTGAGGCTACCAAATATTCACTTCTGCCGTCAGAAAGCAAATGTTACATCCATTCTAAAAGCACAACTGGACTTTTTAGTTTAATTTTGCTACATTTATTGCAGGTGCTTAAAAACAAAAGGTAATTAACCATTTCAATACCGGGCAATTTTACACCTTCCTGCCCAGGCCATTTTTCACGTTTCAGCGCTCACACTTTGAATGGCAATTGCGCGGTCATACAACATTGTACACAAACTAACATTTTATCATTTTCTTCACACAACTAGAGCTTTCTTTTGGTGGTATTTAATCACCACTGGAGTTTTTGTTTTTTGCTAAATTAACAAAAAAAGACTGAAAATTTTGAAAAAAAACACGTTTTTCTTTGTTTCTGTTATAAAAGTTTGTAAATAAATAATTATTGTTCATAAATTTAGGCCAAAATGTATTCTGCTACGTCTTTGGTGAAAATAACCCAAATTAGGGTGTATTTTTTTAGTTTTGTAGGAAAGATATAGAGTTCACAAACTATGGTATAGATCTGAAAATTGATCAATCCTGAAGTACTGACAGCCAATCTAATTTCTTGAGGTCTAAGAATGTCAGAACAGTACAGATATCCCCCAAATGACCCCTTCTTTGCAAATCAGACAGTCCGACGTACTTCATAAGAGGCATGGCGCGTTTTTTGAAGTTGTGTTTTTTTTGTCATAATTTTTCGGAAAATGAAAAAATTATTTTCACTATTTTTTTTACATACTGTCACCAGTGCAGTACAGCGTCATCATATAACTGGCATGGCGGTGAACAGGGACACTGACTGGTGACAGTATGAAAAAAATATATATTTTATTTTTTTTTTTAATTTTTTATTACTTTTTTTATTTGTTTAGATTTTTTTCATATTTTACTATGACCAAAGTAGTACAATGTTACCATAGTAACATTGTACTACTTTGGGGAAGTGATTAGCATTTTTTTTTTTTTAACACAATTTGCTTATAGCAAAGAATTACTTTGCTACAAGCAAGCATTTACCAGAATGAAATCGATTCATTCAGGTTTTTATTTTTCCTTTGTGCTTAGCTGTGATTTGGCCACAGCTAATCACATGACATGTGCATGTGACCTGCTGTGACCATTCACAGCTAGGCACTAGTATACAGTGGATGGCATGAATGAAACCATCCATTGTATACGACTGTCATGTGACCTGCTGTGATTGGTCACAGCAGGTCACATGGCACCGGCAATGGGGGCCGGTACTCAGATCTGTCATCGGCCGTGTCCGAGGTACACGGCCAGTGACAGATCGCGCCGCTCTGCAACGGCGCGAACTGCGCATGTGCGGGAGCATGCTAAATGGCGTGCACCTGGAAAGGTGAAGCATTTTTGCCGCCGCCAAAGGGCTGTAGGCCGGGCGGCAAATGGTTAAAGTCTGTTTTTCTTTAGAAACCATCCACAGTCTGAGTAGAAGAGCTTGTTTCTTGTCAGAATTCTGGAGAGAAGAATCATTGCTCTCTGTGTAAAAGCAGTGGTCTCTGCAGAGGTCTGGCATGTCCCCTGCTGAATCAGAGCTGGAGTTCTCCAGCTCAGAGCATGAGCTTTGCTAGTTATAGAGCTCTGTAAGTCTATAACCAAGTCAATTCAAACATTTGTGTTTGGAATCATCCTGGTAGATGGCTTTTTATCCAGAATGTCTTGGTACATTTTTCCATTCATCCTTCCTTGATATGAAGTTTGCCAGTACCGTATGCTGAAAAACAGCGTCATGCTGCTCCCATCTTCGGTCTTCACTGTTGGTATGGTGTTTTTGGGGTGATGTGCAGTGCCATTTGACCTCCAAGCATGGTGTGTATTATGGCACCCAAAGAGTTAAATTTTGGTCTCATCTGGCCAGACTATATTTTCCCAGTATTTCACAGGCTTGTCTAAATGTTGTACAGCAAATTTTTAATGAGTTTCAACATGCTTTTTCTTCAGCAATGGAGTCTTTTGCATGGTGAGTGTGCATACAGGCCATGGTGGTTGAGTCCATTACTTATTGTTTTCTTTGAAACAATTGTATCTGCTAATTCCAGGTCTTTCTGAAGCTCTCCACAAGTGGTCCTTGGCTCTTGGACAACTTTTCTCATTCTTTTCACTCCTGTCAGAATCTTGCGAGGAGCACCTGGTTGTGGCCGGTTTATGGAGAAATGATGTTCTTTCCACTTCTAGATTATGGCTCCAACAGTGCTCATTGGAATAATCAGAAGTTTAGAAATCCTTCTGTAACCAATGCCATCAGTATGTTTTTGCAATAATAAGTTGCGAATGTCTTGATAGATCTCTTTGCTTTTACCCATCATGAGAAGAGTCTTGTGTGGCACCTTGGTAGTGAGACACCTTTTTTTTTTTTTTTTTTTTTTTTTTTTTTTTTTTTATAGGCCATCAGTTGAGACTGAGCCAACTGATATTGATTTGCACTGAAAAGGGGCAGGATTGCTTTCTAATTACTGATATATTTCGGCTGGTGTCTTGGCTTTCCGTGCCTTTTTTCACCTCCCTTTCTTCATGTGTTCAATAGTTTTTACCCTGTCATTCCATTGTATTACACATTTCTTCTGAATGTATTTGTTCTAGTTTCTTTGTATGTATGGATTGCATGGGTTGTTACCGTCATGTGGTGAAAATTTCATGCCAGTAGCACCTTTTTAAAAATATATTTGAGAAAATTTGAACCAAGCCTGGGGTGTCTTTTAGACTAAAAATACTTTTCAAGGGTGCCCTGACTGTAAAAGCACTGCTATGGAGAAAAGAGGGCTGCAGAAAAACAGGTACAGCTTATGTAGGAGGATTAATGTCATCACTGTGTATCATTTTAAAGCTAGTTACTTCAGTGCTTATATGTAAACATTTATTACCACTTTTAATTCTTCTGTTTTTAGCATTTGCATTTATGGCGGTGGTGACCGTAAAGGCCAAATAAATGTGGTTACAAAGGGAGTGGATATAGTCATTGCCACTCCAGGAAGATTGCATGATTTGCAAATGAATGAATTCATTAACCTAGAAAGTATAACTTACTTGGTAAGTAAATATTATTTAAGATTAAAAAATTACATAACTAAATTTTAAAAACTGTACAGAACACTTTTTTTTTTTTTTTTTTATTATTCCAGAAACTGAACTTACCTGTTTTGCTTTGTCGTTTAGGTTACTTTGCAGTAAAAGCCAAGGAAACTTAGACCTCTGTAGTGTATTAATATGTGCTTTACTAAACAGGAAAAAGTCTACACATAAAATTCAGAAAACACAAATCCTAACAAGATATGCCTAAAACATGCACAAGTTGATTATGTGATAGGCATACACTAAAACCGTTGCTTAAATTGGTTATTTCCATTGATGGAATCTTACCCAACTGCTTTCTCCTGTATTCAGAACCAGTGTGTTCTTCCTTTTTGTTTCAGAACAAGTTTTACAGAACAGTTGTTGCTTCTTCGTTTTTCCAAAACAACTCTGTCTTGGTCTAAATCACATACCTGTTTAAAAGACCTCCTCCTCCTAATTTCCTGTTACATCATATCCTCTCTTCTAGCCTGACTTCCTCTGCTGAGCTCATAAACTAGTCCGACTGGTTCATTTTCATAACAATAGGAGAGGCCTTAGCTTCTAAAATAGCACATGGTCTTCAAACATATCTATAAATTTAACATATCCAAGCTTTGAAAATCACCAAATATAGTAAAGCAACACAAACCACCTCCTTTTTACAGCATGATTTGTGAACAAATGTGAAACTCAGCATTTCTCAAAGGCAGGAAAGTGTGAAATAAACCCCCTTATTGTGAATGGGAGGAAAAAATTCCCTTTGGACCCCCTTATGTTCTGGACAATCAGACTTTGTCCCTAGAACATTCCTTTTGAGCAAGGTTAGCAATGTCCTTGGCAGTCTGTGTAACATAGTTGGAAAGAGTCCCAGATGAAGGTTGCTTGTACTCCTGGTCATAAGGAAATGCTCAGAGTCCACACCAATTCAACCACTTCAGGAAAACATCTGCATCTTCCTCATGCTCTCATCTCCTCTTCTGGTTTGTCTCATCCGATCTGGCCTGGTCATCTGCTCTGGCTACTCCACCTCTTTGATGTTCATTACCTTAAGAGTAAGGGACAAAGCAGAGTATACAGTGGATATAAAAAATCTACACACACCTGTTAAAATGTCAGGTTTCTGTGATATAATAAAAAAAAAATGAGACAAAGATAAATGGGCAGCACAGTGGCTAAATGGTTAGCACTTCTGCCTGGCAGTACTAGGGTCGTTGGTTCGAATCCTAGCACACAGCAGCACCACCTGCCTGGAGTTTGCATGTTCTCCCTGTGTCTGCGTGGATTTCCTCCGGGTACTCCGGTTTCCTCCCCCACTCCAAAGACAGGCCCCAGTTACAGCTGAAGAAAAACCACCCCAAAGCATGATGCTGCCACTACCATGCTTCACTGTGGGTATGGTTTTCTTTTGGTGGTGTACAGTGATGTTTTTCTGCCAAACATACCTTTTGGAATTACAGCCTAAAAGTTCAACCTTGGTTTCATCGGACCATAACACATATTTTACCACATGCTTTTGGGAGACTTCAGGTATGTTTTTGCAAAATGTAGCCGGGCTTGGATGTTTTTTTTTTTTTTTTTTCGATTTGCCACTCTAACACATAGCCCAGACATATGAAGAATACGGGAGATTGTTGTCACGTGTACCACACAGCCAGTACTTGCCAAATATTCCTCCAGCTCCTTTAATGTTGCTGTAAGCCTCTTGGCAGCCTCCCAGACAAGATTCTTCTCGTCTTTTTCATCAATTTTGGAGGGACGTCCAGTTCTTGGTAATGTCACTGTTGCGCCATATTTTCTCAACTTGATGACTATCTTCACTGTGTTCCATGATATATCTAATGCCTTGGAAATTCATTTGTACCTTTCTCCTGACTGATACTTGTTAATGAGATCCCTCTGATGCTTTGAAAGCTCTCTGTGTTCCATGGCTTCTGCTGTAGGATGCGACTAAGAAAATGTCAGGAAAGACCTACTAGAACAGCTGAAATTTTATTTGGGGTTGATCAGAGGCACTTTCAATGACAGGTGTGTACTGACTCCTATTTAACATGATTTTGAGTGTGATTGCTTAATTCTGAACACGGCTACATCCCCAGTTATAAGAAGGTGTGCACACTTATGCAACCAAATTATTTTAGTTTTTTATCTTACCCTCCCCCCTAAAAGTTTTCAGTTTGTTTTTCAATTGAGGTCTCATTAAAGGTGGAAAAAGTTCTGAAATGATTTATCTTTTGTCTTATTTTTTTTTGCATCACCGAAACCTGACATTGTAACAAGGGTTTGTAGACTTTTAATGTCCAGTTTATGTTCCTTCCAACTGTGGCAAAATACGTAGCTCACTGCTCACTTATCTCTATCTGCCCATTGCAAACTGCAAAACTATTGTAGGGTGCCCACTCTTGCCTTGTAACACTTTCATGGAAAGGCATAGATTTCCAGCGGAAATAATAAATCTGCTCCTCTCTCCATGTTGTCTTGAGAACACTGGTCTGCTGTTAAGTCTTCACAGCTTGGCGCACTCTAGCAATATGCCCCAGTCTGAAAAAAAAACATCTAAATGTGACTGAATTTACCATTCCCAGCCAATTGCTTCCATCTTTAAACAAAGCTGGTGTAGGAATCCTATCTTTTTCCTCTCTAGGGACCCCAATCTTAAGTAAATCAGTCCATATGTGTCTGCTGGAGACCATAGGCCTTGCCTTCCTTTTATCGGATTCGACTCAGCCGCCTCTATTTGAGCTGATTAGATTCCCAGCTTCCCGCTTATGGGAAGTAACAGTGGCACATGTCTTCTGCTTACAGGCTTAGGCATTTGTCCTTTTTGTTACGCCATCATTAGACTTGTTCATGAGGGCTGCACACCACTCATTCAAATCTTCAGCTCTGCCTACAGTGATTTGAACACATTTCGAAGCCACTGCAGGTTTGAATTTGAGTTCCCTACTTTCTGAATCCCTTGCCTTGTTTGCAATATCTTCCAAACACTCTCACCGCTGTAAGCAGCTCTTCAACAAGTCTCTTTCTACCTTTTTCCCAATATGTAGAGCATGCAGGAAGTTTAAACCAAACACAGCTATTGCCCGCATCTCTCCCTTACTGAACCCAAACCTTTTAAGAGTAAAATCTGAGGAAAAATCAGACACAATCACCCTAAGCTATGTTCAAAGGAGAAGCATACCTAGTGAACTCCCTTGCACCAAACATCCACTGACTCTTTTTGGCCCAGGTAGGTAGGGTGCACTTCTCTTCCTGAACACGAGAACTTTCTGCAGCCTTACTCTTTGTAAACCATGTATACGCAGCATTTTTCCTAGCACAAGCAACAGAAAATTCCACAGAAAGCGGGTCTGCTTCAGTTGAGCTGCGGGTCTGCTTCAGTTGAGCTTTAGCGCAAATCCAGCCATAAGCCCCCAGTTGTTTTACGTTGTCTTTTAGGTTACTTTGCGGTAAAAGACAAGAAAATGTCAACACATAAAACTTCCGAAAACACAAATCATAACAAGATATGCCTAAAACACGACTGGCTAAAACAAGCTGACAATTTGTGTGATAGGCATACACTAAAATAATGACTTAGTTGTTTCCATTGATGGAAAGAACTTCATTCTTGCACAAGTGCTTTCTCCTGTCTTCAGACCCAGTATGTTCCTCCTTTTTGTTTCAGAACAAGCTGTTGCGTCTTCGTCTTCCAAAACAACTCTATCTAAATCAGATGCCTGTTCAAAAGTCCTCCTAACTTACTGTTGCATCATATCCTCTCTAGCTTGACTTCCTCTGCTGAGCTCATAATCCAGTCAAACTGGTTCATTTGCATAACAAAAGGAGAGGCCTTAGCTTCTAAAACTTCACATGAAAACATGTCTATAAATTTGGTCAAAAAGTGGAATAAAGTACAACAGCGCTAGGTGTCTATTAATCAAATAAATATATGAGTATGTGAATTAATAGATCAATAAATTGAGCTGCTGGCATAGAAAGTAAACCTCAAAAAAACTTCGGATAGTATGTAGTAACGGTATGCAGCGCTCATATATTGGAAATTAACCTGATCACATATATTAAATATAAACTGATCACATATAGTAAATATGAATTAAGCAAAATTCACGATAAGAATAAAACGTGAAATATAAGCATATTAAACTCGTGACTTCTGTGGTGCATCCGAGGTTGAGAAACCAGAGGAAAGTTCGTGACTCTTGTGGTGAAAAAACTGAGAATAGCTTGCACTAACCAGATGTCTCAGCACACGGAGCATGGAGTAATTAAGACCTACTCCTGGTACTCTGAAAGGAAGCCACTGAAGGGGATGATGTCATCTGATCTCTCGCCACTAGATGTCATGTTCCCAGGACAGCAGGACAGGGATCCCAGAGATATACATCAGCCAATGGAGGGATTAATCCAGCAAGCCAGTCAGCAACCCGGATTGTTCCCGATCGGATTGCTATTATTTGTGGAACGTTTCGCCGAATCGTTCAAGAAATATCGCGGTTTTTGTGGCGAAATAGGAATTAATGGTGCATGTACAGCGGCAGCAGAGCACAGCTAGAGTGTAGAAGGAAAAATCAGAACATGATTTGTAAACTGCCATCCCTCTGTCATTTTCAAGCCCACCTACACATATCTTATATCAAAACGTTCAGCTAACCCTGCTGTCACTAAAAATGTTCACGGCTAGGACATACTCCTGATAGTTTTCAGAATATGAACATTTGTTTGCAACTCACCCCTCCCATTGACTTTCATTGAAAATCCACTCTAGCCACCTGAAATGTTAAGGGACGTTTTTAAACTGCGACTGTGCCTTCATTTTTTATCTTTCAGAGACATACTATACATCAAAAGTTAGCCCTGCTTCTTGTGATTATCACAATATAATTTTTACAGCTCTTTGCTGTAGCATTTATACTTTTAAAACTACAAGTGTTTGAAGATGGCAATTGCCAGTGAAGTTGGCAACTTTAAACAGAGTG